CAGGGTGCACCTATCTCCAATTTCTATATCGTGGATAGTATATATAAGATCTACATTTCCTGTGCTTCAGTATCTATTACTTTTAGCTAATATTGTCTTTAAAAAATGATAATTATAGATCAGAAAGAATGCTGTTCACTGCAATGTGACAGTGTAGTTTTGTAAATGTTTAAACATGAACCAGACTACATGGTATTGTTATCTCAGAAGACAGTATCCTTCACAGTAACTGCCATTAGAACCGAAAATCTCACAACTTTTGATCAGGTTTGTTCTCATAAACAGACTGAAAATACCATCACTCCTGGATCACATTTCTCCAAAGAGTGCACACTGCTCTTTACTAAGCTTGTAGCTTCAAAAGTTTTTGTCTCCTCAGATACTCATTTTTCTTGTGCAAGGCACTGCAGAGGCCTATAAGGCAAATGTTCAAGTTCAGCTTTGATTTCAGCCAACACTGTACAGCTACCACTAAATACCAGTACTTAGGTTTCATGTCTGCCAACTTGGTAATTCTTACTTTACAGTGAATTTCATTTACAGCTGATAAGAGTTGAAATGAACACAAGATAATAAGTACTGGAGATGAGGAATTCGGTATTTTATACATGGAATCATACTCTATAATGTAAAAGTTTTAATATGGTGCATCTTAAGTATGTGGTGGATGTGCTGTATGGTGTATGCAGACATAATTAATTATGATGACATGTAAAGCTAATACTGCAAGTGGTCAGTAAACTTCAAACTAAAGTCTAGGTGCAGTCTCATTGTTGACACAGCTGACTGGGTAGGAAAGGAGCAAGTGACTCGGTAATCTTGCAGTGGCACAGCCACCAAATAGTCCATCTGTATAATCATTCCATCATCCCATTTGATCCTACATAATCTTGCTATTTGCTGATCATTAAATAACCTACAAGTAAATAAATATATATTTTAAAACAAAAACTATGAATGTAAGAATATGAATTTTTTGTGTGTGGAAAATATGTACTTCTTAAGAATTCTGGGCCCAGCCGAATTCTACATCTGATATGATGCCCTTGCTGAAGACCATGATACCTTTGCTGGTTAGTCATATATATCACGTACCTTAGAGCCACTGAGAGTTTAGTATGATGCATTAGTAAAGTCAAGATTTGAAGCAGAATACTGAAGTACTCAAAAACCATCCCAGTGCCATCTTTTCTGATACAAATCTGCAACGACGGCTTTGGAACGAATTTGGGCTTATGTGGTGAAAAGATGGCATATAACATCTGAATTGTGAGATAGACTGGAACATATATCTTCAATAATATTCAACACACGTTTGATTCTTGATATCAAAATGTGTTACGCATTTCAGTAGGGAACTGCTGACTTCAGCTTTTCCTTCACCCAAGTTGCTTCCATTTATCACCGCAGTTTGCAATACAAATCACCCAACAGAAAAGCATGTGCATTATGCAGCAATGTAGCTGAATACAAGAAAACATGCATTACCAGCCAACTAACCCCAATCATTCTACTGTTTATTTAATCTTACCGTGTTTAGTGCTGTGAAGATATTATCCATTATGTTAAAGAACACTGTAAGGTGAAACCTACTTATATTGGTGGAAACCAACATGAACGGCTCTAATGTAAGGTCAAAAATTATCCGCACATTTGCCATACCAAAACTTTATATTTGTCACACTGCCTTCTGCGCATGCATGCTTAGAGTTGGTTCTACTGTGGTCACGTGATCGAAGTTTGACCTTGATCCCGTCACTTTCCTTGATGTTGTGACAGTGTAAACATGGCCGCTCCATTGGTAGTGCGTACTAGGGAGAAACAAAGAGAAGTGATCCAATTTCTCTGGTCGGAAGGTGCGTCAAGGAGTGAAATTCATCGGAGGCTTTCAGCACAATACGGGGACAGCGTTCTACCGCGTAGAAGTGTGTATGAGTGTATCGAAAAGTTTTAAAGTGGCCGGACAAGCAGGACGCCCATCAATCACCACTGACGAGAAGATTCAGCAAGCTCGAGAGATGGTACTGGCGAACCGGCGAGTTGCCATCGATGAGGTGGCGTGTTCTTTGCAGATTATTCATGATTCTGCCCAATCAAATCATCCACGACGAACTCGGCTTCCATAAAGTCCGTGCGAGATGGGTGTCGAGAGAGCTTACCGCAGCGCAGAAGCACAAACGTTGAGATCTTCCAACGCTTACCCGACCGCAACAACAATGACGCCAAAGAATTTTTGAGCAGAATAGTTACAGGAGATGAAACGTGGGATGAGTCAGAATCCAAAAGCCAGAGTATGGCGTGGAAACGAAGAAGAAATTCAAGACTCAATCTTCCGCAG